TGAGGTGGAAATCTCAATCCCCTCACCAATTTTTTAAAATGATTTATCCGCAAGAGAAATGACTAAAAAGCTGTTCAACTCTTCATGAAGAACCATAATAAACAATAATTTTATAGCAACATTTAATTTTTGTATAATTTTTTTTTAACAAGTATATAATCCATGTGCAATACATAAGCAAGTCATCAGACAAGCAAGTGTAGCCCGATTATGATTCCATAAATTTTTGGATTTTTTTCAACTTCAAATAACAAAACCTTACTTAATCACAAAATTATAAAGATATTAAACAGTTAAAAAACATACGATGAACCACAATATAATTTGTGTGTAAGTTTTTCCTCTCATCTCCTCTACTGGTATTGTACTCAAATTTTTCCTTCTATCATCGAAATCCTTCCACATGCACTTTGACGACCCTGCGCAAGTTGTATTTAACACCCGTAACATCATCAACAATCCTGGCGAAATTTTAGATTCCGAAGCAAGCCCCACTACTAAATTTTCTCCGTACTTACCCTTTCATCTAACTCAGGTTCATCCTGCACAGACGCTAACCGTTTTTTTTCTAGCGCTACTGACGACAAGCCTAACCCAATAACCGGCGATCAGTTTGATCACGATTTAGATAAGTTATCCAGCAACATTAGCTGATACAAAATTTAAAACACCCAACCGCTTCACCCTCAGAACCCCCATTCACTCGTAACACATCAATTCTAGCAGAACGCGTACTAATTAAGCAAAACAACCAAATAACCATCCCATATACCTAGTAAACCGTTCTCCCACATCCCGACTCCATCAAAACCATCATCACTGACACAGTAACACGCATCAACATATGCTAGTAACCATCCCATTTTTTCCGTAATGCTGTTTTGAGAAGAAAAAATCCAAAGCCGACATAATGCTCATGTTGATGACACCCTAGGTTTTTGGACACCTTCTCTTCACTCCTTTGATTTTGCTTTTAAAATTTCACTACTCCACTTAGCATACCAGTCAGAAAAATTGATAACGACGAACTTTCCCTATGAAGAATCCCACGGCCGACGATATGTTTATGTTCATGACACTTTAGGGTTTTTTCACACCTTCCCTGCACTTCTTCGGTTTTGCTTTTATACTTTCACTAGTCCACTTAGCACACCACTTAGCAAATCTGATGTTGACAAACTTTATACAACAGCTTTTTTTACCAGCGTATTAGTGTAACTCCAGGAGAATATTTCACTAACATTGACCTGTCACGGATACTAAGTCGCTACCATGCATTAATACTACGACGATAATGTCCATTGGTATATGGAAGATTCACCATACCGCATCTTCCATCATGCACCTAATAACAGCAAAGCATACAAATCATATCTCAGACGCTTTGATCATTTTCAACTACGTTTTAATTTCTTCATCCTCAAAGAAAAGGTTATAATTGCTCACACAAATTGAAGTTAAAAACAAAACTAACCCACACTCATACTTATTATCAGTTTATTCAAATTCAATTTGTTTGAAGCTCACCTTCACGTAACCCCCATCACCACTGCATGTTTAAAAACTCAAACTACATATCACCTTTTTTTTGAATTTCACTTATTGCATCAAAGGGACAAAACTGTACGGCGCTCTTCGAAATTAAGTTCCCGTGCGACAAATGTACAAATTTTTCCCCCACTAATACTTTTATTATAGACGAAACCTGCCCGTGATCATCCCACCTGAATACATCCAACTTGTCGCAATTCTACGCTTAGAAACTTTTTATGTCACGAAATTCAATCATAATTTTTATAATTTGATCCAAAACACTAACCACGATTTCAATGTTTCCCCAGAACAACTCAAAACCATCAAAACACTTGAGCGTCGATGGCGACTAATACGCACCAGAAAAGTAATTAGCTTGATATCAAAGCTTTTAATACAATCACCAACCATCTATAATTTTTTTCCCAATAGAATGCCCCCCGAACCAGGCTCCACGTTAATGTGCGATTACTAAAAAAAATAACAAATTCAAAAACTTCTTGCATCTACATAGTGTTGTAGATTTCTAATTTCCTTTTAATTGTCCCCAATAGCTTCTGAAAATATGAAAGAAAAAAACAACTCCAATTTTAAATAAACTTTAAAAATTATTTCATAAAATGCTAACCCATTTCAACCCACTACTAAGTGCTTAATAAAAAATCTAACTCAGCACGAAATTAGTATTTCAAATGCAGTAAACCGTCACACAAGGCAATAAATCAAAAAACGAATCATAAATTAAAGATAAAAGTGAAGTGCAAAAATTTTGTTAATCTCTCCAACTCGCCCATTTTTACGCGAGTTAACAAAATTTTTGCACTTTACTTTTATCTTTAATTTATGATTCGTTTTTTGATTTATTGACTTGTGTGACGGTTTACTGCATTTGAAATACTAGTTTTGTGCTGATTTAAGTTTTTTATTAAGCACTTAGTAGTGGGTTGAAATGGGTTAGCACTTTATGAAATAATTTATAAAGTTTATTTAAAATTGGAGTTGTTTTTTTTTTCTTTCATATTTTCAGACGCTGTTGGGGACAATTAAAAGGAAATTTTTGTTAATATTTTAAACAGCTTTCACACGTTGCAAACTTTCTTTTAAACCGGTTGAAATAAAAATTTCGGCTTGAATAACCAACGCAGTTTACTAACAACACCACAATATCAACATGTTCAGGAAAATTCCACTATATTGAAACCACATCAAACTGAATGAAACATTCTTGTAAAACATAATCAATTGGTCATTAAGACCACATAAAACCTTAAAAAACCCCAAGTCAACACTAATCCTAGACAAACTGTTTTTAAGGAAAGGACACTACCACAAAAAACAACTGGCAAAACACTTGAGACAAAAAAAACTGTTACGAACAAAAATTACTATACTCGAAGAAACACTCACAAGTATACTCCAACCGGCCTAACCAAACAGTAAAGGACATCCTGAGCATGCTTTATAGCCGTCCTCAACCCTCGCTTTATACAACGCTTACAATAAACGCACTTAATTGTTCTTAGGAATGGTGAAAAACTCGTTAAAACAACCAAACTAATTAAAAAGCTTCAGCGAAGACAACTAAAAAAAAATTACTAAAATTAAGAGAAAAATTTGTAAAAAATTTCTCAGAGCATAAAGCACGAGCAGCAGAGGCGAGGTGAACATTTGTTGACATTCCAACTATGGAATGGCAAACTTATTGGTATTGCTAGCCGGAGTCACAACCCTCACTGTATAAAAATTGTGGAGCCGACATCGCATAAAAAGTATCCATAGAAACCGACCAATGGCCAAATCGATGTCAAAACTCAAACATATGTAACCTTGTCGCTTGGCGCTTTACTCAGAGAAGTCAGCATTTTATCTCGCCACTCGATCGATTTCGAACGAAAAGTGCAAATGCACGTAGTCTTGCTCTGACTAACGAATCGACACACTACAAGACACAAATCTGCACTTCAAAACAATCTTTCTGGAGTCACAACAATCCTCCAACACCATCACATGTAGTTTGCAGGCACATTCAATCTACACTCTCTACAAAGATTTTAGAAGACACTAGGTTGGTTCCTCACATGAAAACACTTTGAATTAAAAGCTTCCTAAGCCCCGGACGGTTGGAACCTTTTTAAAACAAGTATTTATTTTATACTTCGCCATTCCTCACTGTAAAATATTTAAAACTAACCAGTTATGATCCATTACTAAAATATACGATAAATTGTATATCTGAAGCTATTCTTAGTTTCAGTCAAAGAATTAATAAAAAAGATTGAAATCAGTTACTTTCTTATCTCCTCTATTTCCGCGATAAACCATTACATGTCTAGATTTAAAGAGGCTAGGAAAAATTGGAGAGGTTATAAGATAAGGATTGGTATAAGACTAAGAAGTTGTGCGAACCTCTATGACCGAAAATAGATGGCGTAACGTACAGACGGTGTACCCTTATCCAGATGAGAAGGCCACCCCGGACCTAAACTCACAACGTATTATAAAGGATTTAGCTATTGAACCCGTTTTTTATTCAAATTGGGTTAATTTATTTTAAAAATTGCCAATCATAAATCGTTCTTGAAATTCACAAAGCCTTAAGGGCATATAGTATTTTCTTTGAAATTCAAAAGCTGAAGTTTCTGTTTTCTTGGGTTCATTGACTTTTTTCCAACTGCTTGTTGGCCATGTTTCTTTAAATTTTCCAGACGTTCTGTGGTCGGAAAAACTAGTTGAGTTAGTAGAAGTTTCGTTCAACCAACTTGGTTTTAACTATACATTTTTTCGCCATGTTATTTGAAAACCGGAAGAATAAAATACGCACAAATTTGTTTTGTTCTGATGTTCAGTATTTGTTTTTGGTTGTTTTTGCTCCAGACAGTTTCCGTCTTTTTAGCTGACCATTTTTGACAGTTTTAAGATGTTGATGAACTGAGCTAAATTGATTTGCTTCTGGTTTTGCTTCTGGTTTTGCAATTGGCATCATTCATGCGGGCAAATTTTCCGGTTGATTTTGTGACCATTTTCGATGAATGCGAATCCAATGCAGATATCTGAATTTTAAGGCGCCGCCTTTAAAAGAGAACAAAGGTTACTTTGTTTCAGGGTCATCTTCTCTTTAAAAATCATAGCGCAGTGACACTGAATATGTTTTAAGAGTCTTCGACTTAAAATTGACTTCGCGCAGTAATAACATCGTGATCGGACTCCTGAGGTGGAAATCTCAATCCCCTCACTCCAATTGTTTAAAATGATTTATCCGCAAGGGAAATGACTAAAAAGCTGTTCAACTCTTCATGGAGAACCGCTGTTGTAACCCTGGGTCAGTCTTGCAGTTTTTTGGCTGTTTTTCTTGGCTTGGGTTATGTTGCTTTATTCTGAAGCAACGAGCACGGATCATTTCGACTATGACTCTTTAACTAGATATCGTTTGGAAACAATTTGTTAGTATTATGGTTTTTTGTGAACAGGCATAGTGAGGCTTTCGGGACGGAACTGGAGTTCTTCGAGGCTGAGGTGGTCGAGGCGGTGGGTTCATTCAACGTCTCTCTCTTCCTCTACGAAGACTACTCCTATGGTCAAGTTGTGGCGTAAGATCAAATATAATACTCTTCGTACTGAAAAATATTCCCTAAAAAACTCACTAATGAGTAAAAATTCCGCGTTTTCCGACGAATAAATTACTAGCAAGGAAGCGTTCGGGGATAAAAAATTTTTTAAAAAACTTCCGATCTTAGATTACAGATAACGGCAAATCAATTAGTTTTTGTAAGATGCTCTAATCTCATGAAACTTTTCACAGATTATGCGAACAGAAATTGATGCTTTTTTGCCAATCCTCACAATTTCATTGTTATTTAAATTTTATTCGATAAAACTTGAGTGTAGAGAAAAATTTAAACTGCTAAAACTACTTGGTAGCAAAAAGTTTAGTTACCGTGCGGTTATGCAACCCTTGTACTACAAGTTCAAAAAATAACGCTTGCATCAAATAAAAAGTCATTTAAGCAACGAAGCGTCGAAATGACTACCAAAGTGATTGAGTTTTTAAAAAGTTGTGCAAAATTATCGAATAGCAAGATAATATTGATTCATAACACACGATAATAAACTGCACGATAATGAGTCAAGTTTCCTTGACTTAAATCCATGTTAATTGACATTTTACTTATTAGAAGTTAAACGCAGATAAAGATTCGGCTACCTACTGACATTACATTAAATAATACATTAAATAAATAAAATTTCCTTATTCTTAATTCATGCTAATCAATATTCTACAATTTAGCTCAGATCTTCTCATTCGAATTTTAGAAAGTTCAATTTTTTGGCGACTACAAAAACACTTTGTTTAGGGCAACAATTTTTAGACTAGCAGTTCTGACATGGAAAAAGCTATTGGCAATTTCATGTACGGACGCTATTCTTTCCTTTCAATATCGGATACCTTCTTTAGATTATGAAGTTGACATGACAGCACTTAATTTTTTTTTCTGTTGTTCGTTCTGTTAGTGACTACCCTTGGTACGTGCCGGGGGACAACAGCCAGCTGTCATTTGAGGCCAGACTGGCCACTGGGGACAGCCAGCTGGGACTGTATCTGGAAGAGTGCTGGGCCACACCCTCCCCAGACATTTATGACCAGGACAAGGTCATCATCATGACCAACGGGTGAGCGAAAACACGACAGCAGCAACTGATTTAGTGTTTGATCCTTCTTGTTTCAGTTACTTGATTTTGTCATACTGTATTAAGTCGCTTTTTTTTGTTAATGCCTCTGTGGTGAAAATTTGAGCGCGTGTTACTCGTGGGTTCGTTGGTTCCTTTTATCGATAGAAGTGCTGGTTACTACATAGCATCGATGGAGGTAGGCAAACTTCACCCCAAATTTCAATTAAAAAAATGAAAGTTCTAAAATCAGTCAATAGCGGACATTATTTAGTCAGATTTTGTCATGACAGCAGACAAAACTTTTTTTTTATCGTATGAAACATAAAACTTGTAACATAATCATTTTTGTTTAGTTGTGCGGCTGATGAAGATTTTGAGTGGGTGGGGCAAGTCGACAACAACCAGGCAGTTCGGTTCACATTCGTCGCCCACAAGTTCATTAACCTCTCCAAAGGAGGAGAGGCGCTGGAGGAGACCTACTACTTCTGCTACTATGAATTGTGCGACCAGACCGAACAGATATGTGCAGATAGTCTCCTGCCAGAAAGTAGGAACTCTACTTTTTAAAACACTTTTCAAACTACTTTTTGTTCTCACCACTGGGCAGGAATTTTATCTTCGGGAGTGCTTTAGTTTTTGTTAGGGACCGCAAAATTTTTGTATCAAATAGTTTTTGTATTCCGATTTCTGATTGTGTAATTTTGTGGTGCTTTTTTACTCTTTCAATGCGAAATCAGGTACTTGAAATAATAGCCAGATAAGGTCTGGTGCTATCTCTTAATAACGCTTTTTCTGTCGTGGTTTGATCAATGTTAAAAACTTCCTTAACTCAAACTCAGCGCTGAGAAAAAAAAGCATGAAACTTTTGCGTTGATACCAAATTAGCATATTTTAGACAAGTAAAAATAAGCATCGTAGCTGTGCGTCACATATGCTGATAAAAATGGCTTTGGTTTAGATTGGTTCAATACATGTGACGACCAGACCAAACGAGTGAGGCGAAGCGCACGCTTCAACAAGAATACGGCCGGAATCATCAGCGTCACAGTGGCTTTCTTGCCCGAAAACTCCACTGCTGCGCCGCTTGCAAAAGCCGACCGTAAGTAGTGGTCTTGCCCAGCGGTATTAAGTCACGTTAGAAGGTTACTGGGTATGCTATTTTTGAGCAAATTTTGAGCATATTTTGAGCAAAATGATGAAAACTGTAACCAAAATTGAATGAAGCGGTCGGCCTAATTAGAAAAATAACGGTGATTTAATTAATTCTATTAGGGTGGCGAACCTTGAAAGGGAACCAGTCATTTTCACTGTCTCCTTAAATTCATCAATGCCTCGGCAAATGTCAGTTGGCTACATTACTTCCTAAGCTGGTACATGTTGCTTCAACTTTAACACAGAGATAAAGCGGAGCGAAAGGGTTGCATTGCTAGGTACCAAATAGACAGTGAGATGGAGATAACTAAGAAGAAAATAACTTGAAAAAATCAACATTTTTTTTGGAAATACGAAAAATTCAACCTCAGAAAAGTAGACGTGAAATACAACCACAAGCATTAAATATGCTTTTAGTATTTTCCGAGCGTTCGCTAAGCCAACAACACCCTAGACCAGGCGCGGATCTGTGAATTTCTCGAGGGGGGAGGGTGGTCGGATTTTTAAAAAAGTTTTTGAAAATTTTGTCGACCTTTTCTTTAGGTCGACCTAATTGATTTTCTGAGGTATTGCAAGTCACTATAAAGACCGTAATTTGACAAAATTTTCTGCGCCGCAGGCAAACTTTTAAAAAACAGGCCAAAAACGGCGTTTTTAGGCACTTTTTGGAAAATTTAGACCAAAAAAAATTGCGTTTTTCAAAGTCACGGTTAGACATCAATTGATCCGAAAACAAAAAGGCCAAAGGATACTGTTGTCACAAAAAAACTTTAATAAAATCAACAATTTTTTGGAAATACGAAAAATTGCATCAGAGAAAAACAGATGAGAAACACAATCACTAGTTTGAAACGAGCTTTTCGTTTTTTCCAAGCGTTCATTGAGCCAAAAAGACAAGGTTAGACAACAATTGATCCACAAAATGCCACATGAAATTGCTGTCATAAAAAAACAACAGTTTTTTGGAAATACACAAAATCTAAGCGAAAAGCACAATCCTTAGCATTTAAAAAAAATCAATATTTTTTGAGCAATCACTAAAACAATAACACGTGGTTAGACTCTAGTTGATTCGAAAACAAAAAATGCCAAAGAAAACTGTTGTCATAAAAAAAATTTGTTCAAATGAATTGTTAGAAATTGCAACTTTTATACTATAACCCAATTGATTTGTTCAAAACAATAATAATCAATTTTCATCCTTGACAAAACATGAGCCCAAGTTATTTAGGCCGAATAAATTTTCTAAACGAAAAAAAAAACAATGGAAAATGTATTAGTCAGGGATAGTAAATTTGAAAAATACAGGAGTATATCAACAATACTTGAGACTACAATTAAAATTGCTTACAGTGTAGCTAATCCAAAATCATGGCGTAGCAACTAAGCCGACAAAACGTAAGCCAACAAACTATAGTCCGGCTATTTGATTTTTGCTAATTTTGAAAATGCCAAGAATTGGTAAAAAAGCAACATCATGTCAATTACAAATGTGTAGAAGTTGTTTACGGGAAAAAATGTCTAGTTCCAGATTACGAGACTCATACAGTAAGAATCATGGTAGTCTTCAAACTACTTGTATCTGGACAAGCCAGTTAAGCTCCGCTCTTTTCTAAATTTGCGTTCGCAATAATTACTGAATCAGCTGCTGTGCTCGGACTTGAGAATTTCTTTTCTACTCAAGCCTAGAATGGTTTGACTCCAAAGGCAGGTTGAAATTATTTGAAGGTGCTCGTTGCTTGAGGATGAAGCAACATTACCCAGCCCAGAAAAATAACCAAAAAAAATTGCATGTAGTTCTTAAACAGGGGCACAACAGCGGTTCGCCGTGATGAGCTGTACAGCTCTTGTGTTGGTCCTTTCCCCCGTGGATAAAAAGGTGGGATGGTTATAAGCAGTGCGAACCGGTAGAAGGCTGCATCTACTGAGGGCGGCCTGAAAGCTCTATATATTCACGGGAAAGAGTTGCGCATTTTAGTTTTGAATCGATGAATTGAACGAGAATTTTCTTCTGATTTCTGCTCTTTTCTCTGCAGCTACTAGAGGTTCAAGGCTATAACAAGGGATAGAAAAACGTTCCTGTTAACTGTTAATTCAACTGATTTCTAGTTCGCATACATAAGACACTAAACTAGAGGTCAACACATAACAGCTAGACAGATCTAGACTGATTGACAGGCAGGTACCAAAATCACACTTAATTATAATATGAGAACTCTCAGAGATAAGTAATAAATGGATAGCAACTAAATTGATTGACATGTAAATATGTAGCCCCTCACATTTCCGTACAGATGTAAAAATTAAATACATAGTATTTGTTTTGATAAACAAGTTCTACCTATTGTATCTACAACATCTTATATGTTTGGCATTTGGTATTTGTTTTTATGAACTTGTTTATTAAGTTCTTGAGATTCCAACGCTAATTTCACGGACCCGTCTTTTTCGGTGATCACGATCGGAGAAACAAAATATCGATCCGAACATTCTTTCAACTTTTCTATATGTCCCTGAGTTATTAGCTTATCAATCTCCTTGTCCACCTTTTCTTGGAGCGTCACCGGCACTCTCCGTCCCTTCTGCTGCAATGGTACAAGATTTTTGAAAAATTCCGCTTGAACCTTGTAGTTTCTAATTTTTCCGATCCTAGTAAAAAGTTTTGGGAATAGCTTACTAAACTATAGTTGCCACGGGTCCATCTGCTCATCCTCCGATTCTCCAACGTGCTCCTTCTCACATGAACTGTCTTCCGTCCCCTGGATGTTCATCACTGCCCCCCTTGGATCTGCTTGCATCAACTGGAGTCCGAGTTTCCCCATCAAGTCACGTCCCACGATTGATGGTCTGGTCCCTCCAATAACTCGGACTTCTGCTATCGTCTTCCAGCCGTTGGATGCCAACTCAAGCTCCATTTTTCCTAACATTTTGATCCGATTGTTGCTGTAGTCCCGAAATTCGTCGTCTTCAATGTCATCTTAGTTCAAATTGATTACCGCTCGTCCCACTGTTTTCCTCAAGCCATCCAGTGTTAATATGGATATTGGCGATCCACTGTCGATCCAGATGTTCATCGGGTGTCCATTAATATATATTTTAAGCTTAGGTCCGGCATTTTTCAATAGCGTCTCTTGCTTACGTCTAATTGCCATAACCTTGTAGTCGTCTGAACTTTCCGATGACCAGCTGTGGTGTTCTCGTTTAACAAAACCTACTGAATTGGCCGCAACTTGTGAGCCAACGTCATCCGAGGTAGTATATCCTCTCCATCAAATGGCTCATCCCCTTGGATTAGTCCAACTGGCTGTCCCCCCCGTGACTGTCGTTTTCCCCGACAAGTTCTCTCAAAGTGCCCGACCTTTTTGCAAGAATTGCATGTGACGGCTCTTGCTGGGCATCGTTGTCGGTTTTCTGGAGTGAAGTTCGGCTGATCGCAATTGTAACATCTCCGTTCTTGCATTCGTTCTTGTGTTCGACCCCCCCCCCCCCGATTTGGGCATTGGCCCCGTCCCCTTGGCATTCCTCGTCCCCTGGATCCACGAATATTGTTGATTGGTTCGGTTTTGATCTGCAGAGAACCCCTTGGCGATGGATAGGCCGTTCCAGTGGAACCGGATGCGACGCCCTTGTAAATCTTTGCGTACTTGTCTCCTCTTTCATACGACATTGCGATTCTTAATGCTTCCTCCGGAGTCTTAGTTTCCCGACACAGCTCGTTCTGTGCATCCCTGTTCCTCATATTGAATATAAATATAACTCTCACCATTTTCCGCTCTTGGGTACCCAAATTGCATCTCGCCGCCATTCCGCTGAGTTCTGCATAGAACGATTCCAAACTTTCTCCCTCCTTTTGTTTCCTGGACAACATCTGGTACATCTCATACGTCTCATTTCGCTCCTTTTGGAAAAGGGCTACACAGGTATCCAAAAATCGTGGGTATCGTATTGTTTCCATATTCAAAGCCCGCTGTCCCTCGTGTCCCAAACATAGGTACAGATTCGATATCAGTGTACGTTCAACTTCTTCCCTTGGTTTGCCACCAACTTCTCCCAGGTCATTAATCTGCGCTTCAGTTAATGTTGACGGAAAGTAAAATTCCGAAGAGACTAATCCATGTTTCGCCACCATTGCCCAATGAAATCTCTGCTTCCAATGCTCCCATAAGAGTTGTGGTTCCGCCTGATTCGGAGGCCAGAATTCCACAATACCAAGGGGTTTTTTTCCCCCACCATCTGCTTGCTGCGCCATAACAAGGGATAGTAAAACGTTCCTGTTAAGTGTTAATTCAACTGATTTCTAATTCGCATAAATAAGACACTAAACTAGAGGTCAGCACATAACAGCTAGACAGATCTAGACTGATTGACAGGCAGGTACCAAAATCACACTTAATTATAATATGAGAACTCTCAGAGATAAGTAATAAATGGATAGCAACTAAATTGATTCACATGTAAATATGTAACCCCTCACAGCTAAACTGTTAGATGGTTCGAGTTTTAGGACTCAAAAATGTCATTTGTTTAAGTAACGTCTTTGGCTAGAGCCTCACATAAGTTTCCCACAATTCAGCGAATGGAATAAATACTTTGAAAAAACAAACTGACTATAACTTTAGCATTTTAGTGAATAGATTTATGAATAGAAACTCGTTTTTACGATAAGTGAAACTTATACTAAGGTCTAGCCAAGATACTTAGCTTTCCAATAACAGTTTTGAGTGCAAAAACTCAAACTTCTTCTCCAGATTTGAAAGATTTTTTTGGCTCAGTTGATCCTCGAGCCTTTTTTTTCATTTTTGATCCGGCTTGATCCTTTAAAATAGCTACACCCATCACGTTTCAAAAATTAAGCCATGAAAATTAAATAACTCAACGTAATTTTTGAAATATTCTACCATTACTCCCGTGTTTTTCAGCACTAATCAGTGACGTCGCCCTGGCGAGCATAATCTCAGTGGTCGCCATGATTACCATTTCGGCGTTCCTTATAACGCTGTGCTTGATTCTTCGATTCCAAAATGCCACATTCGCTCGACACGTAGAGCGTCTTGCAGGACAACACATGCAGCCTCGGGGACCATATGGCGACGACGGAAACACGTGGGGGTCCAACAGTACCATGGATACTGGGATTAACATCCGACGTCTTCAGCCAGGACACAAAGGGTATTGAGACATGCTGCGACGACGGCCAGTTGGCCGGAAATTTCAAGGCAACTGATTGAAAGGCTTTACTGTGTATATCTCTTATCATCGTAGAAAAGACAAATAGTACTGTTCATTTTAGAACCCATTTTATGTTTGATCGAATTGAACTATGTAGAGAACATGAGAAAACTAAAAGCGCCTACAGAATCTTGTCCGTATCGGAAAATGTTCCCGCAGTGACAAAAATGGATAGATATTGATTATCTGCAGAAAAGTATACAGATTTCAGATCTGTTTTAACTATCTATAGTAAAACTTCGATTATATAGTTTTAAGAATCGATTATAATGCATTTCGTTTTCCAAAAGTTTTGTACTGTAATCTTCAAAATATAATCATTATCAAATTACTCTAAAATTTTTTTTTTCTGTATCAAACTTCATGATAAATTTCGTTAAAAGATTATATACAGACTTTATACACACTAAATTCATATTATATACCCATTATATACTAATTTTCTCAACGGAACTCGTCCACCAGACAATATGAGATTAAAGAAAAAAATTATAATGCAGGCTTTTCACTTAAATTATTGTGTTAATGTTTGATCTGATAAAAAAAACTATTTAAAACAGTACTCATTTATTCTAAACACACTTTTCTAACTTGTTGTTGCTGTTCTTTCTTAAATTCCACTAATACATTTGATCTTATAAAGTTCATTTGAAGAAAATTCACATAAAAGTACTTTTTTTACCGCGGGAGTCCGGAGTTTGCAAAATTTTTCTCAAGGAACTCGTAGTTTGCGGTAAATAAGTTTCCTCAAACTGAAGAAAACTTTCCTGATTACAAACTTTTGCTAAAACTTGTAGAAAAAAATCGTTAGTTTCAGCTTTGGATGATGCTACGAACCTATAGTTTTTAGACAATATAATCAATTTTATAAAAATTATATACAAATTAATTACAAATTATTTACAGATTATATACATATTATCTATAGATTATATACAGGTTTCATTTTATGAAGGTTATATACTGAATACAGGAAGATTATGTACAGGTTAAATGCAGGTTTTACACAATAGAAAAACTGATTAACTTGGCACTAAAATCCACATATTTTGAAAAAGAAAAATTTCATTCCAAATTTCCTACCAAACCTAGATCAGAAAAAAACATTCAAATCTTTCAATATAAACTCCATCAAACAAGAATGAAGGTAAAAACAAGTTATTGGATCACTTTATCGTGCGTTGGAAATCAATTTGAAATAATTCAATCAAACGCTGGATGAACGTGAATCAATCAAGCATTTTGAAAAAAATGCGGGTGCGTATTAACTTCAAATAAAGCACGTAAGCGTTTTTTAAACAAAAACTTAGCGAAAGGCATCCAAAAGAATTCAAATTCATCAAAAAGCTTATGATTTCGATGTTGAGTTGTAAAGAAGTAAAGAAACAATTTTGTAAAAAAATCTAAAATCTAAAAAAAGTTTTCCAAAATTATAACTCGGAAAGAACCAAAACTTAATTAAAAAACTTTGTCATAATCCTGCAATAAAGCATTTAAAGCTATAATAATTTAAAAATAGCAGTGACATAAATTTCATAAAGACGAAGCGGAGCTTCGCACCACTTGCATTACAACACAAACGTAGAAAAAAAACAACTCGAAAAAACTGAAAATGTTAAAACTAACTATTTTAACCAAAATTTTCTTATGTCTAGATAAAAAAGAACTTGGATTCAGCTGAAGCTGGAGATATGTGTTTGATATTGAATGAATTTGCTATACTGATTCGTCGCCCAAAATTTGGCGAATTGGATTTTGCCCAAAACCTTAGTTGTTTCTCTACTAAAACCAGTGAAAAGAGTAAAAAAAAACTTGCGATAGTTTCACGAGAAAAAAATCATTTACTAAAAATTAACGAGCCACCGCTTTTGCAGGAACCATTATGGCAACCGCCACTTCCTTCAGTTGAACTTTTCATCTCAGATTTGATTGGGTAAAATTTAAGAAAATTCACAAAAATTTTCCAGAAAACGGTCAAAAGTTCTAAAAAACGGCCGTAAAGATTTACAAAATTCATGAATTTTTCCTGCAAAGAGCAGGTTGGGGCCGCTTAAGCAGAGAAGATTCCCAAAACCGGGTTTCTCAATTGATCTCAACTTGAGAATTGGCGCCCTGTTTTTCGCGTAAAGTCAAAAAGTTGCAAAAAAACTGTCAAAGTTTGCTTATGAAAAAAATTATGGCCTTCAAACGGGCATAGCCATCCATAAAGGTAGGCTTTCAACAACTTGGTGTTTCGAACAAACGCATGATATCAGATTTGGCAGGATAGTTAGCGAGAAAAGTCCAAAAAACGGTCAAATAATCAAAAACTTGACATTTTCGACAATCATAGCTTTTTGTGTGAAAAAATAGGGCGTTGCCGCTTATGCAGTAGGGTTTCAACCAACCTTTAGTTTCGATTGAACCAAAATCTCAGATTTGGAAGGGTAGTTCTTGAGAAATGTTAACAATTTTTGACTTTTCCGAGGGCCATAACTTTTGGTGTCGGAAAAATTTGGGAGTAGTCGCATAGGCAAGTGAGCTTCCTACAACCCGCTCTTTGAATTGAACTTAAAATGTTAAATACTCAAGAATTTTTAAAAAAATATTCAAGAGCTTTTAAGAATATTCAAAAGTATGAGTCAATATTCCTCATTAGACTTTTCCGAAAGCTGTAGACAGCGGGGCCAGACAAAGAGACTCTAGAGGAGTATACAGGCACACAGGCGAGAAGGCGGACTTTCAATTGACACCTCTTTTCGAAAATCAAAAAAATTTTCTGAGAAAAACTAAAATTTTTCTCATGAATTTGGAAATAGCTTTCCACAATGAAAAAAAAACGAAATTTCAACAAACCGATTGGTAAACATACAATCAGTATGAAAAGTGTGGAGATAAGTGTTCACATTGTGTTTTTCTGGAAATGACCCAGAATTAGGTCATTGAGCCGATAAAAATAGGCCGAAGAATATTGGCCAAAGGAATTTTTTTAAGCGAAACAAAAAAAACACGGAAAATGCGAAGTCAAGGTAAGTTAAATTTCAAATTGCAGGAGTAAATCAAACACTCAAAGCAACATTAAAAAAATGCGCGCAGCAAAAAAAAAACGATTTCAAGATCTGACAACTGAGCCGATAATATATCAGCCGAAAAATAATTGGCCGCCAATTTTATTTGAAACAGAAAAACTCCCGTTTGAGAAAAAACAGGTCCTTGTCAGATTCAAACCCAGGACTTTTGCCGTTCCAGGCTTAATTGTTACCTCCAGGCTACGTTGGACGGAAACGCATAGAATATTGAATTCATTATGAAACAAGATACAAGCGAATCTGTTAAAAAAGTTGTTAACCCTAAGAAGTCTATATTCTCGTTTGATGCGATACAAATATGAATGACTATGATTAAAATCAAATGGAAAACAAATACTCAAAAATCGTGGTTTTCGATATAAATTAAACCGAAACTTATTAAGCCGATGAAAAAGACAAAAAATGAAAAAAAGAAATGAAAATTTCACAAATCGAGCTAGTAAAATTACAATCAAGTTAAAAACAAATTTCGATTCGGCAGGACTTTCAAAATGCTAGAACACTTCAGTCAACTACAGTGAAAATTGTTTGCAGCAAAGAAAACGATTCTTCGATAAGGCAATTAAGCCGAAAAAACATAAGCGGACAAATAATAGACCAACTTTTTTATGAACCGGAACAAGTCCTAGTTAGATTCGAATCCAGGACCATTGCCATTCTAGGCGTATTCGTTATCTGCAGGCTATTCGAAAGGGAAAAGAAATCGGAAGTCAAACTGCTATAAAGTAAATTTGAGCCTGAACAAACTTCAAGACTTTACCTGTAAAAAAAACGAAAAGAAATCAAAGCGACATATATAGGAGTTTTAACTACGTTCATCGACGCTTAAAAAAACTGGCATGATCTCGGTTTCGAACGTTTGGTCATCTGCGACGTAATCCCGCTCTTCACCACCACAGTACGGGACCCACATTTTCATAAAAATTAAGTTCATTAATAAAGCGAGCTATCAAATGATTCTGTTAAACTAGTTGTCAACCCACAAAAAGTCTATATTCCAAAAGCAAAAATTTTTGCGAAAGCGTCCCAAAAAAAATAAAATCAAAAATCCGATCCCATACATTTTCACAAAATTTGTCTTTATCAAACAGGAAACTTTAGGCAAACATGCCAAGCAAGAAATTTGAATTTCAAATTGGCAACTGAACAAAACTTACGAAGCGGAAACAAGGCCGACAATCTTTTGAGCAGACACCAATTGAGCCAAAAAAATAGATTTCGTTAGACTTTAAAAAGTTTCAATTCCCCCGAAACTACCCTATAGTAACCTGCAAGTGATTGACTGTATGTCAGCTGTGATTCAAATGTAGTCAGCTGCAAGCACTGGTTTTGTTTAACTAGTTGTTAACCCAAAACAAGTCTACATTCCGATTTGATAACGCTTGCTAATTGCAAGCGTAATAAATTCCAAAAAAACTCACAAATCTTTACACAAATCTCAACCGTAAAAACTGTTTGTTGTTTTGAGAACCCAACTTGTAGATTAATTTTTAACAGCAAGACTCAGCATTCAGGTGAAAGAGAAAACTCAGCTCATGCTTTGTCCATGCACCAAGACCAGCGGAATAAAAACTCATCGTTTCAAAATGAAAAAAATTAAGGAACAAAAAAAAACATTTTTTACAACGCGTCCCTAATTTAGTTCACGCACTAAGACCAGCGGAATAAAAATTCATTGTTTAAAAAAATATATGGACCACTTTAAGTGAAAAAAAAATTACAACGCGCCTCTGATTCACTGGCATTTTTATGCTCCTGAAATAAATCAGCAATCAGAATACAGAGACAACGCAGAGCATGGCATTATTGGCGAAACATCAAACAAGTCAAGCAAGACGACAAAAAAATGAAACTGATATCAGAGTCTTAAAAATTGTTCTATCAAGATTTGTCTCCTAAGAAATTTCTTTGCAGAAAACAGGTCTATTAAGACAAGTTCGTGTTTAGGTCACTCTTCAGCATAAAACTATAATTTTGACCTTCAAATGACGCAATATGAAGCGAATAAACCAATACACCTTGAGCCGAAGGCTCTTTTCCTTTACCCCACCTGCATGTTTTTAAAAGTTCACATTGTTCGATTGTTGCAAATTGGTATACGGACTAATTAGCTCATGACAAACATATTTGATGTTCATAATTAACCTTGTAAAACCGCTCTTTACACCAAAACTGATGCTCGTGTAAAGTGGGGGGGGGGGGGGGGGAGGAAACAAAGGCGAGCCGAAATTTATAAATGCAAAAATTTTTAACGAAAAGACGGTTACTATATATGGAAGAATTGCGTTCCCGTCTCGCATAACATTATATTTTTGACCTTCGAATGACCCACAATAACACTAACCGAGACTTTCAACCGAAGCTTTTTAAGCAAAAAAAAACGGAAAGTATAAACGGATAAAGACGAGAGTGGGTAAATCAACCGCTAAAAAATAAAAAACGAATTTTGAATTCAACAGGTATTGAAGATGCAGCAATGCTCAAGATCTGCTTTGATATTGGACAAATCTTTTGAAATTTCAAACTTTTACAGATAAGGGTTGTGAACAAAATTTATCACAAAACAAAAATAGCCAATTGCTGCACAAGTAGCACAATTTTCCGACCACAGTCATGAAAAACCTTAGAAAACATTGTTTTTGTTCCGACTATTGAAATTTGGGAGGCATTTTGTATTCGGGTGTTTCCGTTTTTCGTTTTCCACGGAAAATCAAGTACCACAAATGATAATCGGAATGGGTCGACTGATATTTTATTTTACAGCAGCCGAGGTTCGAACATCAATAAAAAGTTTAGAAAAGAAGTCCCAGTGTCGAGAAAGACTGGATTGAAATTTTAGATATTTAGGCTAATGTCGAGCAAGTAAAGCGATCGAGTAACTTGGTATTCGTCATTTAGGCTAAAAAATTGATATGAAAAAAGAAAACGAGTTTGGCCATAAAAAATGAATATTATTATTTCAAAAAATTTGCACAGAAAAAAAAGAACAGTTTTTTTTAGTGTCGTTTTTTTTCCGGCTTGGCGGGATGAGAACTAAACAAACGCGGACAACGTTAGTGAGTTTTCACAAAGTTTTATTGTGAAGGAAACAAAATGAAATGACCAGTTCTAGTTTTTCCGGAGCAAAACCAAGTTTTTCCTACCCTCCCAAAAAACCTACCCTCCCGAAGACCAACTTCCTCCCTCTGCTCAAGGATTGGAACAAAAAGTCTAGTACCCCGTTTCAATGCGCATTTGATCGCAAGGGCACAGAACAAGTTAAGAAAACTAAGTCGACTGAGTTTCGAATATTTGAGTTAATATGTGAAATTAGCCAAAAAACTAGGGAAGGTCCACTGACATGTGTATATTTAGTTTACGAAAAAAAAAACAGCTTAACTGATAACAATTGAACCAAATGCTATTCAAACAGAATGAAAACCCTGATAATATTTACAGTAAAGCGTTTTTCATTAGACTGTTGGAGTGAATACTTATTATCGATCAAAATGAGATAAGAAAAAACAGCCGGAAGACGATAAAAAAAACTTTTCAAACCAAATGGAAAAATGTAAACATAGCCAACAGACAGTTGGAAAAGAGTCAATGAACGCAAGGAAACAAAGCGAGTTGTTTTTTTTTAACTAACTTCCGAATTTTATAGAAAAAACTATATGACCTTACAGCTCTAAGAATTTCCAGAACAATTTGAAAATCGCCATTTTTTTGATAAATTTACGCAATTTGAGAAAACTGGATTATAAGATGGCGTTTTTACTCCTCTCAAATCTGAAAATTAAAACCCTTTTTTTGAAACTACAAGTCAATTACGCTTTTTATGCCCTTTACACTTTTGCTGTTTCATAGTGGAGCTGGCCTTTCTTTTAACTAAAGAAATGAACTGAGCTTAACAAGAACTCAAAAGTCAATCCGCGAAAAATCAACTTTGAGCTTGAACAAAAAAAATCATCACTAACTATATGAATCTTTACTACTTTCATTGACTTCCCACTTTACTGTACCGACAATTTGACGAAGTGTGCGGAAACTATGGCGTAGGGTGCTTTTTTGGCTGATTTTGAGTAACCTATGTGAAGCTTGTAGGGGGCTCATCATATTAAAGCCTTATTAAAATTAATTCGGCTCCCAGAATGTTTTTAAGCAAATTATAAGCTTAAAGAATATCGGGTATCCTCTTTCATTTTTTATTGCTTTACTTTGATAGCTGTAGCCGGAAAATTTTGTGCTGCCAGCACATCAATAGGCTAACCTTATTACTCTTCTAAACATAATGATTACTCTACTCTTTTCGAATCATTTTTTACCGCAACATCAAATTAGGAGGCAGCTGCATAAATAAGTTCAAAAATTGTCACCCAGTGAACAACATTTTTAACCGGTCAAAAGTCTAGTAGCCCTTGTTTCTAAACTTTAGCTACTCGCAAGTAACTTTCCGACATTCGTGACAATACCAAGCAGCATCGAGATTCACGACTTTCTGCACGCAATTTCAGCTACCTGAAAGTAGGCTCGTAGTAGATCGAGAGTGATATCATTTCACATCCCTGCGGTCTTGATTTCGATTCCAAAATATGTTTCGAAAAAACTATCTGGTCGAGAAAAACTGAGCTAAGGGAGTATATGCGAACTAAACTTGCGAACTGAACTCAAACTAAATTTTGAATCATTTTTTGCTTACCCACGTAATAATCATCTAACTCTTGAAGTGTAGTTTCAATCAAAGCCCCGCCCCTCCCTCCTGTGCTACTAGCACAGCAACTGGGCAATTGTTTTTCTTTAAGCACACGCAGTACGGATTATACACATCAAAAACTTAACTCAATAAAACTAAAACAATAGGCATCAAACATAGCAGGCAAATACGGAGAATTTCAGTCAAAAAACAGTCTACATGTTCGATGAGTCCATCTAAGTTAGTCCGGACATACTTCCAGTACTCCCATCTTTATCAGTGGTTCTGCTTCTGCCAGAGGAACCAGCAACTCAGTCCCTTTCGTTCCCAAAACATTCACACACCCATCCCCTCGCTCCCACTGCCTTCCGATCAAACCAGCTGCAGCCGCGTTGTCAGAGTCATTCGCATCTATATCTTCAACACACCTTACTCTGACTAACAACTGCTTCGGAGGTTTCGTGTCACGTTGCAAATCAACGACACACCCACCAAAACTGCCTTCATTGACTTGATCGCCAATCGATTCCATATATTCACTCAAAATACGACTGTAATCTGTGAAAAACTTTTTCTCCGATTCTGACAAATTATATCTAGCTTCGGTTGGCAAAGCGATTCCAAGGTTCCAACGCATGGACTGGATCTTACGTAATCTCTGATAGTGATACGCCAGCAGACACCTCTTGTTTCGACTCAGACACGTATGTCTGAGTTGGATTCCGGCAAACAGACCTCGGTTGCCTTCGTCTTCATTGTACATTCGTGATACATCTCGTCTGTTCGTTTCATACCACCATTCAGTTTCGGTTAAAATTTCTTTCGCTAGATTTTCGTTGTACGCAGGAATGTTGTCATTGTTTTCACTGCGCTTTAACTCTTTGATCAACTCAGTGGCTTTACCGCACAGTTGTGTCATGGCGGATCTAAAACCAGAAACTGTTAACGCACTTCTAATGGCAAACTCAATTCGTGAAAACCTGCCAAACAGAAAGCGGAACTCTCTGTAAGCTTCCTTCCACGCTTTATCAGGCAGGAATGAGGCAGATTATATTGCTCAATGCCAATACAAATAATTTCGGCTAAAACGATAAACAGAAATGAATCAGACGAAAAAATTAGCTAAGATCTCGGAGCGAGCTTGAACTATCATTTTCCGAGTCCTAACACCTAGGTTTCATTGCTACCAGCGTATTCTTTTAAATGCAAAACTCTAATTCCTTGTTTTTTATAAATTCTTCAACTGTTCAAAACAGAAATCTTTTTAACGTTTTTATCTTCCTGATACTAGCGGTTAACTGATAACATACTACTTTCCGGTAGGGTTTCGAACCTAGCTAGAAAGATGTTCCTCCAAATTTTCAAAAATTTCAAAACAAAAATACATGTTTGTCGTAATAATGGCCATTCCATGACTGTTCTTCAATGCAGCAAACAACGGTCCCTGCACTTATCCTCGCCAATTTTTGAAGACCTCGCAAGTTGATTAGAGCCTTCAGAATACTTTAGATTAGATTATAGATTATAATAAACTCGTTTTAACATTTAAAATATGTATCTACACGGGCGAAGCGGAGCTTCACACAACTTGCGATACAAAGCAAACATAAAAAACAAATAGAAGAAAATGAAAAATGTTTGAAAAAACTAGGTAAACCAAAATATTCGTACGACTCGATAAAATATAACTCAGGGCACAGCTAAAGCTGGAAGTAGCTGTTCGATATTTTTGAATTGGTTATGCTGATGCTGAAAAAAAAATAAAATTTCAAAGTTTCACAAATTGGACTTTGCCCAAAACCTTAGCTAATTGTGCAAATCTCAGATTAGATAGGGTAGTTTCTAAGAAACGTCAAAAAATTTCGAAAAAATGGCCTAAAGTTCAAAAACTTGACTTTCCGAAATCAAGAACTTTCTTTTCTGTAAAAAAGGGTTGGGTCCACTTAAGCAGCGCAAATTGCCAAAACCGGGTTTCTCGACTGAACACTTAACCTAGAAATTGAGTTTCAAAAAACTTAAAACCATAAATTGACTTCTCCGAGGGCCGTTATTTTTTGTGTAATAAACTGTGCGTATTCATTTATGTAGGGGAGCTTCCCACAACTCGTTTTTTCGATTGAACGCAAAAACTCAGATGTGGAAGGGTAGTTTTCGAGAAATTCAAAACATTTCAAAATACGGTCAAAAACCAAAAAATTGCCTTTTCCGGTGGCGATAACTTGTGTAAAAAACAATCGAGCTTAGCCGATTATGCAGGGGATCTTTCCACAAATCGTTCTACTCATTAAACATAAATTCATAGGTTTGGGAGCAAGGGTATTGGAGAGGGCAGACGCCCCCCCCTTAGGATTTCGACCCCCTGCCGACTCAAGGGGTCCCCCTTTATACTATTTAAGATCTTTCTTTTTGGCCTCTTTTTTCAAAATTTTGCCTGCTGCGCAGAAATTTTGGCCAAAACAGGGTCTTTGTTGTGCTTTGGGAGAGCTCGGAAAATCAATTCGGTCGACCTTTTTCGAAAATCCGCCCCAGCCTTCTAGAAAATTCTAGATCCGCTCCTGTTTAGGAGGGTAGTAACGGAAAAACCGGAAGGCTGTAGACAGTGATATATCGTAAAAAGATACTAGGGAATTATGCAGGCACAATTTGACGGTCTTTCCATAGATGATATCTGTTGGAAATTGGTGGTGCAAATTTTAGAAAACAGTTAAAATATTTTTCAAAGCGTCTCAAAACAATTTTTTTCAATAAAAACCCTATAACAATTGAAATAAGCAGCACAGAACGTTCCGACCATGGTCTTTGAAAATACAAAGTTTTTTTCAAATTTAAGTCATTTTTTCTGCGTGATGTGATAAAGGATCTAAACGAAAAACTAGAACTTAGGCATATTCGACAGTCAAAGTAAAATAGGCAATAGGACAACAGATTTTAGGAAGCAAATGAAAAAAAAAACAACTATCAAAAAAAATCCGAAGTTTTTATTGTTTTGCAGCATTTTTTTTTGAATTTTAATTCCCAAAATTGCGTTAAAAAATTCCAAAAACTATTTTTACAGGAGTAAATTTGATTTTAACGACAAAAAGCATAAATAAGCTATTATAAGCCTGCTCGCTCGCTTCATTTGCTCGAATTTAGGGCAAAAATTTCAAACCTGTTTATCTGGATACCGGGACAACTTTTTGAAAAATTTTTAGTAGTTCGAATCACCAATTTAATATGATATATCAATCGACCCATCAATCGAGTAGTTGTGGTACCTGATTTTGCGTGGAAAACAAAAAAGAAAAATAATACGCACCCAATTACAAATTTCCTCCCCGTTTTCTATGTTCGGAATAAAAAATAATGTCCGAAAAAAAACAGTTCCCGCTCGGATTCGAACCAACAGCCTTTGTGGTCTTAAATAGGAGTGTTAAATATACGCCAAATAAGCTGGATGGCTGTTTGAATTTAAAAAAAACAATGTCCGGATGGAGCTCGAGCCCCGATCCTAGGCTCCCAACGCAAAACCTCGATCTTAAGCTCCTAAGGCATGCACTCAACCACTAAACCAAAAAAGAAGGAATGGCAAGATACAAAGTTTTGTTTAAATGACATTCAGAACTTGAGAAGACGGACGATATTTTGAAAAAAAAGCAGGTCCCGCCCGGATTTGAACCACAAGCCTTTGACGTGTTAAGCAGAAGTGTTAAATCTACGACAGATGTGCTAGCTGGCTGCTTGAAATTAAAAATAACAAGGTGAGGATGAAACTGGAACCCCGATCTTAACCCCCCAAGGCACATACTTTACCACTAAACCAAAAAGAAAGGGATGGCAATTTACAGAGGCACCTTTCATAAAGAGAAGACACCCGTTGAGAAGAGACCCGTTGCGCCACAAAAAAAAATCTCAAATTTTCATTTGCATTAGAAACATAAGTTTCGCTTATACAACAACGCCATATGTGACCACAGCCGATCAAGTAAGTCCAAAAAACAAAGAATGAAAAAACGCAACGAATTCCGAAACGGGCTGGTTAAAATAAAACTACCGTTAAATAAATCATTAAGAGAACAAGTATCCGATACGCAGACATGATTGAAATGTCTGTTAGTTGACGAAAGTGCAGATTTGAGAAAATGATTCAGTGATTCTGTTGGACAAGTTGTTGAAAAATTATGTTCCCAATTTTATACCGTTTGCTAATCATGAGCACAATAATCAAATTTTTATCATTTCTGTTCACAATCATCGACAGATCACAAACACAAAAATCTGTGCACATATAAAAAAAATCATTAAATTTAGTTTGATAAACCTTTATTACAGAATTCTCCGAAAATTATAACTTAATTTCCTCAAATATCTTGTAACTCAATTAATTCTACCATTGGGGCTTTAGAAATGGTATTCAGAAACTAGGAAGAAAATTGAATCTTCAAAAAAGTCGAGCTACGTATCTAAGCCGATTAAAACAAATAGACGGAAAAATTTAATTGACGGGAAAAAGTCTAGCATCCGGCAACATCCTTGCTAATCGCAAGGGTAAAGATTCGAACGAAAAATTGTTAAGAATAGTCCGATTACAAGTACATTTGCAAACCCGAGGGAAATTAAGCCTTCCAGTCGCGATTCGAACAAAAAACATGATTGAAATTGTGTCGAAAACGACTGGTCTGAAATTTTTCGTTTCAAACTTAGTTTTAGCAGGCGATTTGAAATGCATTCCGACAAACCATTTATTTTCACTTCATTTTTATCAAGATTTTTACTCAGAAAAATTAATTTTTTAATTTGAAATTAATTTTAATTCATTACTATTAGTAATGAATTAAAATTTATTTCAAGTTAAAAACTTTCGCAACAACGGCTGGAAATTCAGAACGAATAAAACTTTTCTATTTTTTGCATTAATTAACGTGCTCGGAATATTCTGTAAAACTTGCACAGCAACACCATCAACCCATTTTAGTTCAAAACTTTGCTAATTTATCAAGAAAGATCTGCGAACGTATAACAATTACTTGGGAGACGTCATCTTTTCTTCTATCGACACAGAGGCGAAAACGCGCTTCGCAAACACTAGCGAAAAACGACAAAAAAGCAGCTCTATAAAGTTTACACAGGCGAAGTTGCATTATGCACAAGCAATAATATGACCGATAGCGCTACTGGGAAAAAGTGAATGAGTAAAACTGAGTGTTTCAAAAATTTAAGTGACGCACGCCAATTTTGACGCATTAGCAGTACCAGTCAATTTGAAAAAAAAACACAAAAACTTATCAAACAACATGCCGCAATTTATAGAGCAGTCTATGGAGCAGTAATAACAAGAAAAAATTAAACTACAATGAAAAACATGAAATTTTTTTTAAATGAGATTTTTTGTGATATAAAAAATCCTCTCAAAAATGGCTAGTTAAAAAGTCGAAATTTGTCTAAAAAAAACCACACGGAGCAGAAAAATTCCGTTACTATTGTTACAAAAGTCGGAACAATAAGTCTGTGTTAAAAACCTTATTATTGGCTGTACTCAATAGCTGGTTACTGATCAAAATGAACACTTTCAAAATGAACACATTTTATCGCAACAATATTTGCGTCGCAACAATATTTGCGTCGCAACAATATTTGCGAATTAGGTTGGAAAAAAAGATAGTTCATACTATAACACAAGCATTGCTCGTGTAAAAAAGAAAAAGTAGATAAAAGGCTCGAAATAGTATAAGCCTACAGATTATGAATCTAATGCACTAACCACTCAGCCACGGACGCTTAAAAAGTCTAAATATAGCCAAAAATCAAGAAGAGAACTGATGCTATGCATCTAAGAAAATAAAGCAGAGAATGGATGCTATGAGTAGTAGAAGGTCCAACACCGGTAACGCTGAGGGGGGTGAGCAGGGTGGGGAAAAGAGCAGGAGCAAAATTTATGTTATTATACTTTCGACACGTT